CCTCTCTCCTCCCTGCCACTTCCTCTCCGCACCATCAAAGCTCCCAGAGCCCTGGAGCCTCACCTTCACGTGCTGCGTGGTGCTGCTCATCTCACTCTCATCTTGTTCCCAGTTGATCGACTCACCACTCCTCCATCTCTGCATCCACCCCATGGCTCTCTCACCCCCTCTCACCATCTCCCAACCCTTTGCCAACCTCCCCCACCCTCCCGCACCCTGCTGCACCTCCCCCTTTCAGCTCCCGGAGCCCTGGAGCTTCATCTTCACGTGGTTCGTGGTGCTGCCTGTCGTGTACCTGCTGAGCCAAGCCATCACCAATGGCATTTTCAAGGACTTCCTCATCCTGCAGGTATGCCCCGCGTTCTTATGCATGGCTGCATGGGCACAGGGAATGAGGTCACATGGGTGCATGAGTGAGTGTACCTGCTGAGCCAAGCCATCACCAACGGCATCTTCAAGGACTTCCTCATTCTGCAGGTGAGCATGGGGGTATGGCCGCATGGAGGTATGGGTGCATGGGTGCATGGGTGCATGGGTGCACGGGTGCATGGGTGCATGGAGCATTAGAGAGTGTACCTGCTGAGCCAAGCCATCACCAATGGCATTTTCAAAGACTTCCGCATTCTGCGGGTGAGCAGCTCGCCATGACGCCATCAAGACAGCATGGCCCCCATTTTATTGCATGAGTGCATGGTCGCATGGGGGTATGGGTGTATGGGTGCATGGTCGCACGGGGGTATGGGTGCATGGTCGCATGGGAGTATAGCCGCGTGGGGGTATGGTCGCATGGGGGTATGGTCGCATGGGAGTATTGCCGCATGGGGGTATGGCCGCATGGGGGCATGGTCGCATGGTGCGTGAATAAACGTTCCTGCTGAGCCAAGGCATCACCAATGTCATCTTCAGGTCTTTCTCGTTCTGCAGGTAAGCAGATGGGGTGATGGGCATGTTGGAGCATGGGCGCGTGAGTCAATGCATGTAGGCACGAACCATCCATAATCAACGGCATCCCCAGGAGCTCTTGCCCCCCATCTCCCGTTAACCCCTCTTTGCTGCTTAACTCTCCTCCCCTCCTCTCCTGCTCACCTCTTCTTCCCTGCTCACCCCTCCTCTTTGCCTCTCCCCCTCTCTCCCCCCCACTCTCCCCACCCCCAGGGCCCGTGCCCCAACTGCGGGCACAAGAACGTGAGTTTCTTCGGCACCATTCTCACAGTCAGCACGGGGCAACGGGTCAACCAACTCAAGTGCGAAGATTGTGGCTCCTCCATCTCCTTTGACCTAGACACCCGCAGAATCACTCTCGAGGCCCTCCCTCCCGTCGCAGCCAAGGTACGGTGCCTCATTTGCTGTTGCTGTATTTTCCTCTTCTCTGCACTGCTTGACTGTCAGCCGCTATATATATGTGCGTGCATATATATATATATATATATATATATATATATATATATATATTATATGCAAATCTGTCTCTGGTTGGGCCTTTTAAATTTCTCTCATGTCTTCGTCCTTTCCCAATCTGTGTTCCAGGGAGCACCCAAATCTGCCTAATTGCAACATTTTTTCAAGATGTTTGTGAACAATGCCTGATGCATGTTACAATAATGGCATGTGCAAAGGATTATATATTTTACACATTTGAACGCTTGGTTTGGTGTGACTAGTGCCCTATTTCCAATAGAATCCGTGTGATTAATTAGCTAAATGTCTCCTTGTGTTTATCATATGCTTTGTAAGAAATTGGACCTCGTTAGACAAAACAACTTCAATATTATTTCAATTCTGATGTTTGACTTGCGGACAAAAGAACCGCCCAATTCTCTATACACCCGAGGGTTTGAATCTTCCAGCCACAACCAGCTCGTTACGGGCCCGCACACAGTGCCGTGTTCTGCCATACTCGGTTAGAACTTGCAATATAAATGCAAGCACAAGGATCACCATAAAACCCCACTGAGTTGCACCAATTAATTTCTGCTAAAATGTTATTTTTCCAGTGAACGGTGAAGACTGTCAGATACGTGTAAGATACAGTTATACAACGAGATGAGCTTCACAAGGTTATCCAGGTGTACAGTACTGACAGAGACGCGTAAACTATGATGATAGTCAGGGTCAAAGCAGTTGGCTGTCTTTGCACGTGCTTGCAGGGAAGCTCAGGCACGGCGTGTTCCAATTTATTCCATCCATTCCTTTCCGTGTTTCGTGTGTGTGGGGGTGTGGTGGGCGGTCTGAATTAGATTTAGGCATGCGTTGAATTGCGCAGTCAATCTTGTTGCTCGGTTTCATCAATCTGCGTCCCTCTTGTCATGCCATATCAAACAATTCGTCTCGCGGGCAGCCCTGCCCGAGTTCCTCGTTCGTGGCATACTGTTCAGAGGTTATGTTTTGTTTCAGCAACTGTAGACATCATGCCTCACAGCTCTCCACAACTCTCTCACGGTTGTACAACCGTCCAAGTTCCCCTTTTCAGTCATTCAGGATCTGGGTTAGATCTATCCTAGGTAAAGTAGCATTTATTCGTTTATTTGTCTTCAGACGAGCAGTTCCGCGCTGGAAGAGTTTGAGCAATATTTGCGGTCAAAACGAGGGTAACTGAGTGTGTCAAATTAAGAGCAGAAATGTTTGAAACCGAGAACGACATATACACTGGAGGATTTAATATCCAACCTGTGCTTGGCAGCTCTTCAGATACTGTATAATCCTGCAAGCAGACGTCAAACCTGCCGGTTTCTTTCACGGTCGTCGTCCAAGTCGTCCCAGCTTACCAACCGCATTCCAACAAGTCGTCGTCGCCGACAGCCCTGGAAGTCGTCGCTCGGTCGCCACCGCCTGTGCTGATCTTCTACTGGTTGCTAGCTTGGCTACACTGTACACTCAAAAGTACGCGTGGTGGGACAAACAGAGGACAGCTAGGAGGTGGTATACAGCCAAGTTTGTCAACCAATCAGTGAAAATTCATCGTGTCAATCGGTAAGGTGATTCGTTTCTTTCGATGACTTGGCGATCCTTGGGATGCGGTCACTACTGTATTGCATGCTTCCGACCACAAAACAAACTTGCCATCCCAAAGGCAATTCGTAGCGCGACGCGACCCGTTATTCCCGCCCTGGTCCCCGGAAAAGGTTGTGATGTGCCCCTTCCAAGGCGGAGAACGTGCCTGGGCATCCAACAAGCCAACTAACCAACAAGCCAAAGCAGCTGCGGTAGCCCAGCATTCCAGCGACACAAGTACAAACCATCATTTCGCACCAGCGGCAAACAAACTTCTAGATTTTTTTTTCCAGCCCCAACAAAAGCCTCCCTCGTACAGACGAGCAGCAGAGCAGACCCCAAAAGCATCTGTGCCAATAAAAGGAGTGTGCTGCTGTCTGGACTGCACACATTTCCCCCTCCCCTCCCCGTCCGTCCCTACCAACCACTTGTTCAAAGCCAGCAATCAACCATTTCCATCAAGCCTTCTTGAAGCAGCAACCTTTTTCCATCCAGCAAAACCCTAGTACCGCGCCTAGCCGGAGAGTACAAACAACAAATCAACCTGTTTATCCCCACATTATATATAGAGCATATTAATTACTATTCAAGACAGCAGCAAAGCGCATATAAGGGGAAAATGTCAACGGAAGACGATGAATCACCCTCTATGGAGGTGCAGCTGGAATCGTTGGGAGAGTTGTGCAGACGGCTTCAGGAAGCGGCGCGGCAGGCGCATTCTAACAGCAAGGTGCTCTTAAAGCATGCGGACACCATGGTGCTGCGCGTCGAAATCGCCAAGCGCGGCGTGGACCTCGTAGATCATGAATTCGACCAGGCGCTCGGAAGGTAATGGGCAAGCAGAACAAATGGTATGCTCTTAAAGCATCATGCGAACACCTGATGGTCTGCGCGTCGAATCGCCAAGCGCAGCGTGGACCTCGTAGACCATGAATTCGAGATGGCACACGGCGCCCGGAAGGTAGTATTAACAAAGCTGACAACGAACTCAAGAAAACGGATAAGTAAAAAAAAAAAAAAAAAAAAAAAACACCGAGAAGAAAAAAAGAATAAACAAACAGCTCCCCTTTCTGTTCAACTAACCCGCCTCCGAGAGGAATTCCGCTCATTCCTCTCTATGAACCGATATGGGGAAATCAATGGGAACATGAGCTTCCCAATTTTCATTCCTCTGTGAGACTATTCCTCTCTAACACCCCATTTCTCCAAGACTTACATACTTATGATTTGTGGTACAGGCTATACTTCTTGCGCCATGAAGGTCGGCCGACTAGGGCCTACTACGCAAATTTATGAGTCTGCATTCCTCCCCAAATATAACGCCCCCTGCTTTAGACCAAGCTATGGGTGGTGCTAAGCTGCCCTTTTGAACCTTCCTCATTGGCTCAGGGTCCCCCTCCCCCTGTTGGACCAGGTCTGCGCTGCTGCATTACGTTTCACAGCAATCTACATTAAGTTCTAGCTACACACTCGGTAGCACAATGACCAGCTGAGACTCGAACCCTAGGCTCTGATACCAGTATAGAGCCCAGTGCCCTAAACCACCGGGACCAAAAGGGACATCATCGAAACGCGCAGTGGTGACCCGTTCAGCTCTTCGCGTAAGTCACAGACGACATCACACTAAACCCCATTCCTCCCCGCTTTTCTCCCTACAACTCAATCCCACCAGCGATGTAACCGAGGCTCAAGAGCTCGTGGAGACTGCCAACTCACGACATGCGGCTCATATGTGGAAAGATTGTTCGAGAATCGCTTGTAACCTGCGAGGGATCCTGATGCGTGCGAAAAGCTGAACCCATTCTCCCACAAACCCAACCCTGCCAGCGATGTGACAGAGGCTCTCAAGAGCTCATGGAAGCTGCCATAACATCACACTAAACCCCATCCCTCCCCTCTTCTTTCCCCACATCTCAACCCCACCAGCAACGTAACCGAGGCTCAAGAGCTCATAGAGGCTGCCATCATCGCTCGTGACGTGTCAGCCGAAGTTGCTTCCTGGCAAAAAAATGAACCCTTTCTCCCCACAACTCAATCCCACCAGCGACGTGACAGAGGCTCAAGAGCTCGTGGAAGCTGCCATATCATCACTCACCACGTGTCAGTCTCTCCTTGGCTCGTCGCCCGTCCCCACGGGGGGCGCTTCTGGTAATGTATCTGTCCATGCAGCCGGCGCCACTGCTGCTGGCGCCGCTGCTGCTGGCGCCACCGCAGCCGCTGAAGGGAACATGGACAACCGTACAGCACCAGGGCGGCCATACACGGTGCCAACGCTGGCAGATTCGCAGCACCAGGCTAGAACAGCAGGTGCAGTATCATCACCACCATCAGCAGCAGCAACAGCAGCAGCTACAACAGCGGCGGAGGTGGCGGCGGCAGCAGCAGCAGCAGCAGCAGCAGCAGCAGCAGCAGCAGCAACACAGTGGCAAACACAAGCCCAGGGAACGCAGGAGGAGCACCAATACGACTGGAACCCCCACAACCACTTGTCGTACGGGTATGGTAATCCGGCTGCTGCGTCCAGGCATGGTGCCGCTTCCTTGCCCATGGGAACAGGTGAACTGAGAATCGCTAACTCATTTGGAGGTTATGCTGGTGCTTCAGCTCTTGAGAGTGCTGTGCCCATGCGTGGGGGGTCGTTACCCCTTCCTTCATCGCGTGCGCAAGGCGCAGAAGCAGTAGTAGGAGGAGTGGGAGGAGGAGGGAGCGGAGACGGAGGCAGAGGCGGAGGGGGAAGAGGAGAGGGAGGAGCAGAGGGAGGAAGCGAGGGAAGGGGAGGGGGAGGGGAAGGGGGAGGAGGAGGAGGAGGAGGAGGAGGAGGAGGAGGAGGAGGAGGAGGAGGAGGAGGAGGAGGAGGAGGAGGAGGAGGAGGAACGGATGCTTTGTCCAGTTGGCCTGTCACCCAAGGGATAGCAGGAAGCTCTGTAGCCAGACCTACAGCTGCAGGGGTTGGTGGCTGGGATAACAGAGATCCGGGACAAAAGGAGCCAGAGTCTGGAATGGCCGGGGCAGGCTCATTCTCTTACAGGGCTGTAGCAGCGTCCGTGCCATACAGTGCTGTAGCAGCCTTGGGGCCGTACGGTGCTGTGGCAGGGCTGGCAGGGGGCAGGGTTGAAGGGGAAGGAGGAGGAGGAGGAGGAGGAGGAGGAGGAGGAGGAGGAGGAGGAGGAGGAGGAGGAGGAGGAGGAGGAGGAGGAGGAGGAGGAGGAGGAGGAGGAGGAGGAGGAGTGAGGGCAGGGGAAATGGATGATTTGGCTGCACGGGTGAATCTGGAGACGGCGCTAGGGGACAACCTGATAAGGCAAGCTCTTGCTTTTCTGCAAGAGGATTCGGATGGAGGAGAGAGGGTGGCAGGTGGGATGCATGGAGCGGGAGGGGCCGGGGGAGTGGGGTCAGGAGGGGCGAACGAGGAGGCAGCGGCTGGGAACCAGGGGGACCCAAGCGTGAGTGGTGGCAGCGGCAGCGGAGTCAGCCTGGGAGCTGCAGCCGCAGCTGCAGCAGCACCACCAGCGGCAGCGGCAGCAGCAGCGGCAGCAGCAGTGGCAGCAGCAGCAGCAGCAGCAGCAGCAGCAGCAGCAGCAGCAGACAGCCAGTTTCGAGAGGGTCATCAACCTCACCCAAGAAACAGTCATGCCGTTGCTGCATACACTGGCAGGGCTGGTGCACCTGGGAGCATAAGCAGCCTTGTGAACCTCCCCCGGTTCAACTCCAACAACAGGACTCCTGCCGGTGCAACCGGTGGCATTGCTGCTAGCACTGGCGGCGGTGGTGGTGTTGCCGTTGCCCCTGCCTTGGCAGCTGCTGGTTTCTCAAGAGGTGGACTGATAGCGCATGGAGGGGACTCAGACAGGAAACGAGCAGCAGAGGAGGAATTGGACGGGCAAACTCTCATCCCCCAAAAGCGACAGCGCGCACCCGCAAAACCATCCGCGTCCGAAATCCCTCCAGACGGGTGGGAATGGCGCAAGTACGGGCAGAAAGCTACACTCGGGCAGCTGTACCCGCGGAGTTATTTCCGGTGTGCGTTCCGGGGCGGTGGGCCGCCGTGCATGGCCAAGAAATGGGCTGAGAGGTGCAATGAAAACCCGTCTAACTGGAGAATTAAGTACATGTCGGAACATAACCATGCCAAGCCGCCGCCTCGGCCGGTTACCATCACCATTGTGGCGGACGGCATGGGGGTGGACGCATCTGGAGGGTCAATTGGTGCTGTCGGGCCACCGCTGCCGGCACTCAGTGACACCTCCCCGCTTGCCCTGCCTGGTACTCCTGGCTCTGGTGGTTCTGGTGGTGCTGCTGGTGCTGCTGCTGGTGGTGCTGCTGCTGGTGCTGCTGGTGGTGCTGCTGGTGCTGCCGCTGCTGGTGGTGCTGCTGGTGCTACAGAAACTAATGCTACGGCTGGGTGTGTCCCGAGCTCCCCGCTGCAGCTGCTGTTGGCCTCTAGCCCGCCTGGAAACGTCAGGGAAAATGCACATGGTGGTGGTGCTGCTGCCGCTAGTGGTACTGGTGGTGGTGGTGGTGGTGCTGCTGCTGCTGCTGCTGCTGCTGCTGATGCTGCTGCTGATGCTGCTGCTGATGCTGCAGCTGATGCTGCCGCTGATATGGAAACCGGGAGTGATGAGGAGGGAAGGAGCAAGGAGTTACATACACCCGACCAGGGAGGTTCGGCCGGACGTGAGCCACGGTCAGGGTCGAGAGAGGGCAGGAGCGGGAGAGGGAGCGCGGGGGATCTAGGTCGGGCAGATGAGAGCAGCACTGGTGTGAGTCCGCCTTCTCAGGCAAACCCACCTGCCGCAAACCAGCCTGGGTCACACCAGCCTAGGTCCCACCTGCCCGGGTCGTACCTGCCTGGGTCACACCTGGCTGATTTGACTCAAAATTCGCCTGAAGCGCAGATGCCTGGGGTGTTCCGTCAAGATGCGAGGGGAAACAGTGAGATGAGAGGTGATCGAAGGGTTGATGAAGGGGGAGAGGGCGAAAGGAGGGAAGGAGGGCGAGTGAGGCACGTGGGGCATGAGCATCTGCATGGGCAACCAGAGCAGCAGACGACAGGCGAAGTGTCGAAGCAAGAAGACAGCCAAAGAGCGACGCAGGTAGAACCAGGTACGGGAGGCACGAGTGCAGGTGCTCAGAGTCACGAGATTATCCGATCTGCAATGGTACCAGCGGGAGCAATAGCGACGACAGAAACAACAGCAGCTATCACAGAAACAGCGTTACGGGGAGCGAGACCTGCGGTGAACATGCCAAACATGGCGGATCCAGGCGCACCACCTGTGACACTAACTCCCATTACAGTTACTCTACGGGGGGCAGCAGCAGCAGCAATAGCAGGATCATCAGCAGCGGCAGCAGCAGCGGCGGCTGCATTTGCAGGTTCGGCAGGAGCAGGTAGCACCGGGAGAGACGAAGCAGCTGATAGCGGATTACTCATAGACTGCCCCCACCGAGGCTCGTTCATGCCGAGCCTAGGCTCTTGGATCGACGTGGGCGCCGTACCTATGTGGGTCACTCCCGGGGTTAATGACTCGTCGAGCTCCGCGATTGGGCGGGCTGGCGTGGACCAATGGCAGCTGGTGGCACAGGAGATTGAGGTGCCTTCCCCTGGCATGCTGGCGGAGATGAATGCTGAGAGGGGGATGATGGAGGATATGGGGGGGGAGCATGGGGACGAGGGAGGGGGATGATGATATGGGGGGGGAGCAGAGGGACGAGGGAGGGGGATGATGGAGGATATGGGGGGAGAGCAGAGGGACGAGGGAGGGGGATGATGGAGGATATGGGGGGGGAGCATGGGGACGAGGGGGACCAATGAGGGAGGGTAGGAGGAGGGTGAGGGGACAGAGCAGTCTGATCATTGAGGTGCCTTCCCCTGGCATGCTGGCAGAGATGAATGCAGAGAGAGGGATGATGGAGGATATGGGGGGGGAGCAGAGGGACGAGGGAGAGGGATGAGAATGAGGGTAGTGGGAGGTGGAAGAGGGAGAGGAGTGATTATGGTTACAGGTCACTCTACTGGAGGTGCCTTCCCCTGGCATGCTGGCAGAGATGAATGCAGAGAGGGGGATGATGGAGGATATGGAGGAAGGAGCATGGGGGTGATGGGGAAAGATGAGGGGGGGTAGGAGGAGGGGAGGGGAGAGAGCAGTATTTGTTGAAGGATTTGCTGCCTGGTCATGGAGGTGCCTTCCCCTGGAGTGCTGGCAGAGATGAGTGCTAAGAGGGGGATGATGGAGGATATGGAGGAAGGAGCAGGGAGATGAGGGGGAGGGATGAGGGGAGTGGGTGGAAGAGAGAGGGCAAGGATTGTTGAAGGCTTTGCTGCCTGGGTAGTGAGGCGGAAGGAAGGATGCGGGTGCAGGATGAGGGGTGAGGGATAAGGGGAGTGGGTGGAAGAGAGAGGGCAGGGTTTGTTGAATGCTTTGCTGCCTGGGTAGTGAGGTGGAAGGAAGGATGTGGGTGCGGGATGAGGGGCGAGGGATAAGGGGAGTGGGTGGACGAGAGAGGGCAAGGATTGTTGAATGCTTTGTTGCCTGGGTAGTGAGGTGGAAGGAAGGATGCGGGTGCGGGATGAGGGGTGAGGGATAAGGGGAGTGGGTGGACGAGAGAGGGCAGGGATTGTTGAATGCTTTGTTGCCTGGGTAGTGAGGCGGAAAATCCTTGAAGAACCTGGATTAGGGATGCGGGCGGGGGATGAGGGGATGAGGGGATGAGGGGATGAGGGATGAGGGATGAGGGATGAAGGAAGAAGGAAGAAGGATGTAGATGCGGGGTGCGGGATGAGGGAAGAGCAGTAATTGTTTTTTTATTTTCTTCTACGTCTTCATCTCTTTTTTCTGGTCCGGTGCCTTTTTCCTGGCATAACAATGGAGCTGGCAGAGTTGGCATGATGTCGCATAAGTGAATGCTGAGAGTCCGGTGATAGGGGGTACAGGGGGGAGAGTGGGGGAATGGGGGGAGGGATGGAGGAGGATATGGAGGAGTGGAGGGGAACGAAGATCAGGGATGGAGAGAGGAAGATGATGAAAGGGATGGGGAGTGATGAGGAGGGATGGGGATTGCAAAACAGCTCCAGCTGCTATCAGCTTTGACACTCCCCAACCATGGGCTTGAGGTGCCGTTTCCTGGAATGAGTGCGGAGCTGAATTGCGAGACGGGGAGAACATGAGGGGGGAAGGCAGGAAATGAAGATGGTCTTTCCTTTCACTCTGCCTAACAATCCTCCAGGCAGGAAACGAGGCCCCACCATGCCACTTATTCAAGCCACCTTTTCAGCAGCTGGGTGCGACATCACAAAGAATAACTGGTGGAGAGCCGAAGTGACTTTTGAGTCGACTCAAGATGACTTTTGAGTCGACTCAAAAGTCTCCTCCAGGCAGGAGACGAGGCCCCACCATGCCACTTATTCAAGCAACCTTTTCAGCAGCTGGGTGCGACATCGCAAAGAATAACTGGTGGGGAGCTGAATGGAAGCTTCAACCTTTTGAGGCGCCTCAAAAGACCCCTCCATGCCACCCATCCAAGCACCGTTTCAGCAGCTGTGCGGCATCACAACGAAGGACTAGTAAATCATATGGAGATTCCAAAGTATAGCTTCTCAGCAGGGTTAGATAACGTACGGCTGCAACTGTTATGCAGGGGTAGCAGATAGGAAAAAATCTACAAGGGGATAGATAGCAGGGATAGCCAAGGGAAATTACAATGATTTGTTTAGTGTTTCCAAGATCCACAGCACAATTGAAAAAGCGTGTGCTGTTTGGATCTCTGACTTTTGGCAGGGTCTGCCAGTTCCATACACCGTGTCCGGTAGGCTGGTCTCTGGTGCCTAACAAACAGAGACTATTGGCATGGCACCGCACCATACAGTTTCATTCATATGAATGGACTTACCGGTACCTCGTTACGCTATCCAAACATGAACGCACCTTAAAGCTATCCAAAACATTTTAATGCATGGAAACGCTATCCAAAAATCATCGGTGTCTGTTCCATACGGTAAGTATGTGCCTGACCATGGTTTAGTAGCATAGAATTACTGTGTTAGTGTCGTGGCTTGGAGCAATCTGCCACACCAGGAAAATCTCTGGTTGTATGACTCTGAAACACTACCTCACTGGTCAGAGTGCCATGTTGGTTGTACTATAGTGACCATTATTTTATAGAAATAATTCACTTGTCGCCTCTTACACACACACACACACACACACACACGCACGCACGCACGCACGCACGCACGCACGCACGCACGCACGCACACACACACACACACACACACACACACACACACACACACACACACACACACACACACACACACACACACACACACACACACACACACACACACACACACACACACACACACACACACATATACACATATATATAACGAATCTGTAAAGATATGTACATGTGTATTTTTTTTCCTCATGTTTTCATGCTTGTTACGGTATAAGCAATGTTGCACAGGGAATGCTTCTATACAACTGCCACACGAAGGTTTAGTATGGCAAGGTGTAAGGAAAATTCATTTTCCTTACTTCGCGCCCCTGCTTACCGCGTACATGGCCATTCCCGCCATCGGCACCCACAGTGATGTCAGAAATGAGAAAGAAGGAATGAAACAGAGAAGAGGGGTTTCACTAGCAAACATTGGGATACATATAGCAAACCCTAACAGGGCTGTACTCACTATAGAGTACCCCTCTACAGACTTGAGAAATATAACATTCTGACACACCCCCATAGTCAAAGTGGGGTATAATCAGCACAGCAAGCAGTCATAGAGCAGGTTCACAAGTACAAGCAAAGCTAGAGGCATTCACAAAGGGCAAGTGAGGAGGAGGAGGCGGGACTGTGAGAGGAGTGGAGATAGGAGGCGACGGGTGAAGCCGCAGACACACGGGCAACAGGAGCGGCGCGCACGGTGGCTACCGGAGCAAGGGCCCCGGACTACAGGAGTAACTGGCTCTGCGGCTAACTCCGAGCGGCAGGAGCAACGGACCCACGGGCAACTGGCGCAGCAGGCTCGCTGGGCTACCGGAGAAGAGCCCCGGACTACTGGCGCTGCTGACGACACGACGGCTGCCTCCGCTCAACCTCCCCCAACTGTCCCACCCCCCTTTTCACACACCCCCTGCTGCACCCCTAGCTCCACTCCCACGACACCCCCTTAGCACCACTCCTTCGGCTCCCACACACCCACCCCCCTTAGCGGCAGCTGCAGCAGTGGGAGACGGAGGAGGAGGAGGAGCAGGGGACGCCTCACACACCTGCCACCCCCATACCCGCCACCCCCACACCCCAAACGCAGGCGGCATGGGGCAGAAACACGGGCAGCAGTTGGGGCGGCGTGCGAGCAGAAGCGGGGCAGCGCGCGGGCCCCCGGGGCGCCGCGACGGGCGATGGGAGGGGGCGATGCGCGGGCCCCCAGGGCGCCGCGACGGGCGACGGGAGGGGGGGCGACGCACAGGCCCCCAGGGTGCCGCGACGGGCGACGGGTAGGGCAGCGCGCGGGCCCCCGGGGCGCCGCGACGGGCGACGGGAGGGGGGGCGATGCGCGGGCCCCCAGGGCGCCGCGACGGGCGACGGGAGGGGGGGCGACGCGCGGGCCCCCAGGGCGCCGCGACGGGCGACGGGTAGGGCAGCGCGCGAGCCCCCGGGGCGCCGCGACGGGCGACGGGAGGGGGCGACGCGCGGGCCCCCGGGGCGCCGCGACGGCGGGAAGGAAACCGCCACGCGCCTTGAGCGCGTGGCGGGCAGAAAACCGCCACGCGCCCCGAGCGCGCGGCGGGAAGAAAAAACGCCGCACGCGCCAGGCGCGCGGCAGGCAGAGAACGTCGCGCGCCCGGGGTGCGCGACAGGCAGGACAGCAGTGGAAGCAGCAGGGTGGGCCCATCCACAAGATCGACCCGCAAGGGTCGACCTGCTCTGATAGCATGTCGAAATAGGTTCTTAACTTAGTAGGCTTAGTAGCCTAGGGTTTAGCTAGGACGAGAGAAGCAAAGGGAATGTCGAGGGTGTTGACCAAAGGAGAAACGAGAATGGTGTTCATTATGAGAAAAGTTACAAGTTATAGCAAGCCAAAGGGTGCACCACCTAACAGGATAGCAATAGAACTACACTAGGTCTACACTATAGGCAGTTATAGTAATGTATACAATTACATTCTGACACACCCCCTAACTGCCTGCAGTGAAGAACCATGTGCAGAAACACCCCCGGAAGGGGTACACCAAGCGCAATGGAAGACAACAGAGGAATGCGAGGAGGAGGAGACAAGAGAGAGAGAGGGGAGAGGAGAGGAATGAGGAGAGGAGGTGGGGGAGCCAAGCGGCGTGCCCCTCTTACGAACCCCCGTTTTACAAAGGGGGGGGGGGTGAGAGAGGGATGAGGAGAGGAGGTGGGGGGAGCCACGCGGCGTGCCCCTCTTACGAACCCCCGTTTTACAAAGGGGGGAGGGTGAGAGAGGGAGGAGAGGAGGTGGGGGGAGCCTAGCGCGGCGAGCCCCTCTTACTAACCCCCTAATTCCACAACCCCTTTCAGCCACCCCCCTCAACCTCACCCCCCTTGTCAACCGCCCCCTGGAACCTCACGCCTTCCCCCCACACATCCTCCAAAGCCTTCCCCACCCACGGTGGTCCCTGCTCAAGCCTTCACATGGCGGCCAGAAACCCGCCACCCCCTCACCCTCCCCCCCACAGCGGCACGTGCAGCAGTGAGAGAGAGAGGAGGAGCGGCGCCAGATGGGTGCTCACACCCGCCACCCCAAACCCACCCCCCCCCACTGTTGCACGTGCAGCAGGGAGAGAGAGGGGAAGGCGAGCGGCAGCGGCAGTAGCTCCTCCCGTCACTCCCACCACTCCACCCTCTCCACCCCCCCCCCCCCCCCACAGCAGCAGGTGCGGCCGTGAAAGAGAGAAAAGGAGGGTGGTGCTATTGGTGCCACCTCCCCCTTACACCCCCTCCCCCTCCCCCCAAACTTCTGCACACGTAGTAGGGAGAGGGAATAGAAGGGAGGGGGGGGCGAGGTGTGCGATCTGGTGGGGCGGGCGCGGGCGGGCAGGGCGCACGAGGCGCCGGGCAGAGGCGCAAGAGGCGCCGGGCAGAAACCGCCGCTGCAGTAGGAGCAGCAGGGGGGGAGAGGAGAGGCGGGAGGGGGGGGCTGCTGGCTTGGTGACGAAGCAGAGCAGCGGGGCGCAGGAGGTGCAACCACCCCCCACCGCCACTCCTGCGTCCCCCCAACACCCAACACTCCACCGCCACTCCTGCGACGGTGGGGAGGTGAGGCTGGTGCAGCTCCGCGCGCTTGTGCTGGCGCTGGCGCTGGCACGGGCGTTGGCGACTGGCGGCTCCGGCCGCCACTAACCCCCTCGATGTTGCCCGCTCCAGTCGCGGCTGCAGCGGCGGCGGGCTCGTACGAGCGGGGAGCTGTAGCGCAGCGGTGGCGGGCTGCAGCAGCGGCGATCGCGTGCTGCGGACGAGGGCTGCGACGTACGGGCGACTGCAGCAGTGCGCGTGCTTGCCTGCGACGGGGCCCCCGCACGACGGGCAGAAAACCGTCGCACGCTGGGGGCGAGCGACGGGCAGAACACCGTCGCGTGCTGGGGGCGCGCGATGGGCAGAAACCGCCGCACGCCCTGGGCGTGCGACGGGCAGAAACCGCCACGCGCTCGGGGCGCGTGACGGGCAGGGGCACTGCATGACGGGCAACGCGATTGGTGGGCCCATGAAAATTAGGTCCTGGGAAGGACCAGCTCTGATACCATGTAAGAAATGAGAAAGAATGAATGAAACAGAGAAGAGGGGTTTCACTAGCAAACATTGGGATACATATAGCAAACCCTAACAGGGCTGTACTCATTATAGAGTACCCCATTGCAGACTAGAGAAATATAACATTCTGACAAGTGAAACGTTACCCGCTCGCAGCACTCGCCTCGGCCACGACTCCCGCCACTGTTCGCGATGCGACCCAACCTAACGGTTCGGTTGGTAACCCGCGCCCCGGACCTCCGCCTCGACAATTTCCCAAACCACGGCGCTAGGTCCGTAGCACACCCCAATTTCCCGCATTACCGTTACCACACTAGCTTCGCTATATAACTTCGCTCATGCTTTTCGCTCAACTGTATTGTTTTGCTTCGATAATGCAATTCTCGCTCGCTCGCTCAATTGCACTCGTAACACAAGGCTCCGTAGGAAAAGACAGTAAAGTAATCCATGTTTTGTAACTTTCAAGATAAAAGCATAAGTTTATCGTGGCTGCCTTTGTTCACGCGACCCTTATATTTTTACTAAAAGCTTCGGGTCGGGGCTCATGGAGTTGGAAAAAGGCCTGCTTTGCCAATGGTTTGAAACTGAGGTTGCACAATACAGAGTACTGTACAGCCCAGCGGGAGGGATATTGATATTGCGTACAAGCCACATATAACATGTTGCTCGTCACAGCACGCATTGAGCTACCTGCCTGCTCCAAAACCCTACAGCCATGGGAACGCTGCCCGTGTGGAGGTACGTTATTACTGGGTGCTAGAGGCAGACCCGAAGAGACAAGACAAGGCAGCTTTACCCATGCATGCAGGTATTATAAACCCCCTTTTGAGCTGATTCAAAGGATATATTACTACGGTACCTTACTCCTAAACCATCCACCATCCACCCCTGCTTCACCGCCGCCCATCTACGGTATTCTGTTTTAGTTTGTCAGGATTTGTTTTGCTCTTCTGCAGTGCTACTACTCTCCATAGGCAGCGAGTGCAGCAAGAAATGCAGGAAAGTCCTCGCAACTGCATCTCCCACCCCCCCCCTCACAACCGGCTTCGTCCGTTTCTGCCCGCCCAAAAAGCACGAGTAATGATGATCCCCGGGACACGTGTCGCCGTACCGCGGCACCTCCACGGCCCACGAATCAAACACCGCCATCTCAGCGCCTCGCGTCACTGACGCCGCCAGCTGGCGCGCGTGCCGATTGGCCGCAGCCAGGTACAGGTTCGTCGCAGGCCCGGCGAAGCCCCGCTTAACCGCATACTCCGAGCAATGCGAGCCGGCGTTTGGGACGGGCGGCGGCGTTCGGAAGACGACGCGGGCGCGGTTGGCCCGGGCGGCAAGCAGTGCCCAGATGAAGAACTCGGGGAGGCGGGCGCGGAGGGCTTGCAGCGGCTCGGCACACCACTTGCCGGCCCAGTAGCCGCCCTCTATGATTGTCACGTTAGCTGTTGTTGAGATGTTGGGGAAGGTGTGGTAGTTGTGCGTGTACTGCCCTCTCAGCCTGCACTCAGGGTTTGCGGGGTTTGGGATTGGGCATAAGGATTGGGTTTTGAGGGTTTAGAAGGAGCTCTCAGCATGTCCCGCTTGCCGGCCCAGTAGCCTCCCTCTATGACCGTCACACGTTTGCTGTGGTGGAGATGTTGGGGAAGGTGTGGTAGTTGTGCGTGTACTGCCCTCTCAACCTGCACTCAGGGGGGAGAAGGGTTTTTGGTTGTACAAAGATCTGAATGTTTTTTCTTCTACCACTGAAGCACGGAAGCCCGTCTAAGCAGACATTTTTAACAGCAAATCGCGAGAGTTTCCCTTTTTTCGCATTGTGGCTCGTTTCAGATGCTTTTTGTGTTCTCTGTTTTTAACCCTACGAATCTTGAAGAGTCAACTGGTGCTGGGATTTCACCAGGACACGAAATAAGCATGTGTAAAAAATCGTTTGCATGAGAACCCACACAAATTCCCACTCACGAGTTCTGTGAAAAACCGTCCACCCAGTAGAAGGAGAATTGCAGCTTCGAGGTTAGTGAGTGGAGGGAGAGGGGGCGGGAGGGTGAGCACTCACACGCCGTATTCGCGGTTCCTGTAGATGCCGTCCACCCAGGAGAAGGCGGCTTGCAGCCTTGAGATGCTTCACAGCGTGAGCGTGAGGCTAGAGAGTGGAGGAGTGGGAAGAGTGGGCGGGAGGGTGAGCACTCAGACGCCGTATTCGCGGTTCCTGTAGATGCCGTCCACCCAGAAGAAGGCGGCTTGCAGCCTTGAGATGCTTCACAGCGTGAGCGTGAGGCTAGAGAGTGGAGGAGTGGGAAGAGTGGGCGGGAGGGTGAGCACTCACACGCAGCCGTATTCGCGGTTCCTGTAGATGATGCCATCCACCAGTAGAAGTTGACTCGCGGCTTTGAGACGCCTCAAAGCTTGTGAAAGTGGAGGATTGGTAAGGGACGGTTGGAAAAGGGAGAGGGAGCACTCACATGCAGCCAGCAGTATTCGCAGTTCCTGTGAATCCCATCCACCAGTAGAAGTTGACTCGCAGTAAAAAGGAATGGAGGAACGGAATAAGAGCGTTCGGAGCAGCAAAAAGAGCACTCACGAGCAGCCGTACCCGTGGCTTTTGTAAATGCCATCCACCCAGTAGAAGTTGACTCGCAGCTTTGAGACAATGGAAGAATGGTGAGAGCGGGACGGGAGGAGCAACAAAAAGAGCACTCACGAGCAGCCATATTCGAGGTTCCTGTAGATCCCATCTACCAGTAGAAGTTGGCTCGCAGCTTGTGTTAGGTTGATGAAACGAGGAGTGGGAAGATTGGGGAGCAGCAAAGGCACTCACGAGCAGCCGTATTCGCGGTTCCTGTAAATGCCGTCCACCCAGTAGAAGTTGACTCGCAGCTGCTTGCCCGAGCGCTCATCCTTGAGAGTGAAGTTCATGTCCTCATGCGACCTCACCATGCGCTCGTCGGCGAAGCCTGGAGGAGGGGGAAGCGAAGAAAGGTTAAACAGGAAGGGCATGGGGAATGAGGCTGCTTGCCTGAGCGCTCATCCGTCAGACCGCACGGAGTGAAGTTCATGTCCTCGTCCGCAAAACCTGGAGGTGGGGAAAGATGGAGGGGCGGGAGAAGGGGAGGGGAGAGTTGATGGAAGGGCATGGGGAATGAGGCTGTTTGCCCAAGCGCTCGTCAGTGAGAGTGAAGTTCATGTCCTCATGCGACCGCACCATGCGCTCGTCTGCAAAACCTGGTGGGGGAAAGAAGGGGGGGAGAGGGAAGGGGGGGAAGGGGACGGAGAGGGAGAGTGATTCAAGGGTGATTAGGCTGTTTTCCCAAGCGCTCATCCTTGAGAGTGAAGTTCATGTCCTCATGCGACCGCACCATGCGCTCGTCCGCAAAACCTGGAGGAGGGGGAAAGAAGGAGGGGGGAGGAGAAGGGGAGGGGAGAGTTAATGGAAGGGCGTGGGGAATGAGGCTGCTTGCCCGAACGCTCGTCTGTGAGAGTGAGGTTCATGTCCTCGTTTGACCGCACCATGCGCTCGTCTACGAGGCTTGATGGAGGACAATTGGAGGGGAGGGGAGGGAATAGGGGGGATAAAGGTTCCACGTGTAAGCATTCATCGGTGAGAGTGAAGTTCATGTCCTCGTGCGACCGCACCATGCGCTCGTCCGCAAAACCTGGAGGAGGGGGAAAGAAGGAGGGGGGAGGAGAAGGGGAGGGGAGAGTTAATAGAAGGGCGTGGGGAATGAGGCTGCTTGCCCGAACGCTCGTCTGTGAGAGTGAGGTTCATGTCCTCGTTTGACCGCACCATGCGCTCGTCTACGAGGCTTGATGGAGGACAATTGGAGGGGAGGGGAGGGAATAGGGGGGATAAAGGTTCCACGTGTAAGCATTCATCGGTGAGAGTGAAGTTCATGTCCTCGTGCGACCGCACCATGCGCTCGTCTACGAGGCTTGATGGAGGACAATTGGAGGGGAGGGGAGGGAATAGGGGGGATAAAGGTTCCACGTGTAAGCATTCATCGGTGAGAGTGAAGTTCATGTCCTCGTGCGACCGCACCATGCGCTCGTCCGCAAAGCCTGGTGGAGAGGGAAGCAAAAAAAGGGTAGATGGAAAGGGCATGGGGAATGAGGCTGCTTGCTCGAGCGCTCGTCCTCGCTCACGCACACCTCTAGTCCTCTGTGACCTCTGTGTGAGCTCACACACTCCCTGTGTTGCCTGATGGAAAGGAGAAGTATGGCCAGGGAGGAGGACTGATGGGTGGAAATAGGCATCGAGTCGGGTATGGAGTGGAAGCAGCAGAAACCGAACCTGACAGACAGGCACTTCAGGTGAAAATAGAGGGGCTACACAGCACAGGTGAAACGAGAGCAACAGAGAAACGCACCTGAGAGGAGGTATCTCAGGTGAAACTAGAGCCACAGACACACACCTGACAGGAGATATCTCAGGTGAAAAGACAGCACGCGCTGGTGCGAGTCCCCCACAATGTTGACCTCCTGAATGCCCTTCCGCACCAGCTGCGCCACCCACCCTGACGGTCGTTTCGGCTCCTTGGGTGCACACGGGAAAAAGCGCCACCTGCCAGGGCGGATAGATGGGGAAGGGAGGAGAGGGATGTGTGTGTGGGGGGGGGAGGGTTAGGGTGTTCAAATGCCCTTCCACACCAGCTGCGCCACCCACCCTGATGGACACTTCGGCTCCTTGGGTGCACACGGGAAAAAGCGCCACCTGCCAGGGGGATAGTTGGGGGAGGGAGGAGAGGGAGAGGGGGGGGGGGGGGGGGGGGGGGTGTGGGGGTTAGAAAGCCTTCCGCACAAGCTGCGCCACCCACCCTGATGGCCGTTTCGGCTCCTTGGGTGCACATGGGTAGAAGCGCCACCTGCTAGGGCGGGGAGAGGGGGGTCGCGGGGGGGTTGGAGGAGGGTGGGGGAAAGGAGACAGTGAGGATTGACCTTGGTCGGCGGCTGAGGTTGAAGCACCTTGAATGCCCTCTCGTGGGGGTGCGGGTCCCCTATCACCTTGATCTCCTCAATGCCATTCCGCACAAGCTGCGCCACCCACCCAGATGGATGCTTCGGCTCCTTGGGAGCACATGGGTAGAAGCGCCACCTGCCAGGGCCGATAGATGGGCGGAAGGGAGGAGGGGGAAGGGGGGAGGGGAGGGGGGGGTGGGTTAGAATGCTCTTTTGCACTAGCTGTTACACTCACCCCGACGGATGCTTTTGCTCCTCGGGTGCACATGGGTAGAAGCGCCAGTAGGAGGGGGAGCGGGGAGGAAGGAGGTGGTGGTGGTTAGAATTCCCTTCCGCACCAGCTGTGCCACACACTCTGGTCTGGCGGATGCCTTTTTGAGGCGCCTAAAAAAATCCCTGCCGCACCATCTGTGCCACGGACTCTGGCGGATGCCAAGGGAGGAATTTTGGGGGGATAGTGCTTTGTTAGACAGCCATTTTGCACCTCTCCCATGCCTCTCCCATGCCTCTCTGCCTCTCCCAAACCTCTCCCATGCCTCTCCCATGCCTCTCCCATGCCTCCCCCATGCCTCTCCCATGCCTCTCCTATGCCTCTCCCATGCCTCTCCTATGCCTCTCCCATGCCCCTCCTATGCTTCTCCCATGTCTATTTTCCATGTCAATCGCTCTTCATGCCCCACCCAAGCCTCTCCCAAGCCTCTCCCATTCCTCTCCCAAGCCTCTCCTGTGCCTCCTGTGCCTCTCCCGAGCCTTCCGACTCACTCAAATCCGCCAGTCTTGGACAGGACCCATCGCCCCTTGATGCCTGACACTTGGCACGGCGTCATTGGCAGCTTCTCCTCCTCCTCCTCCTCTTCTTCCTCCTCCTCCTCATCTGTCGCCCCCCCTTCCAGCAGCCTCCTCTCTTCCACACCCCTCCCTTCCGTTCCTCTCCCTTTGCTCGCCTCGTTCTCCTCACTCGCCTCCTCCTGCCATGTGCCACTCAAGAGTCGGCGAACACTGCTGTCGGTAGCAATGGCGCTGCTGCTGCTGCTCATGTGTTCGCTTATCTTGGCAGTTACAGTGGCAGTGGCCGCAGCAGCAGCAGCCGCAGGAGGACCGTTGGCTGTAGCAAGAGCGGTCGCAGCAGTAGCCGCAGCAGTAGCAGTAGCAGTTGCAGTGGTCGTAGCAGTGGTAGCAGCAGTGGCAGCAGTGCCAGTTGCAGAAGAGGCAAAACGAGCAGCGGAGGTGGGAGGGAGAGCAAGAGAGCCGTTAGTCCAGGAGGCGTCTCTCTTTTGTGGCACGATTGTGACATTCCACGACGTGAGTACATGGAGGTGCGTCTGGCTCAGATGCTTGGTCTGAGGTGCGCCTGCCAAGCTGAACAATGGATTGCATGCTCCAGCACACCCATACTTATAGTACGCACACACATTCGTGCAGTTTCCCACCCCTCCCGGTGCTGACTTACGGAATGGTCCACACGCCGATCTGAGGTGCGCCTGCCAAGCTGAACAATGGATTGCATGCTCCAGCACACCCATACCCATAGTACGCACACACATTCGTGCAGTTTCCCACCCCTCCCGGTGCTGACTCTATGCGGGTGTAGGACAGGACATCAGTGGTGCGGGGGAGAGTGATGTCGGTGCAGCCATCCTAGTTGACCCGCATGGTGGATGTGAAGCGAGTGATGGTGAAGTTGGGCTGATCATAGAAGGTGAAGCTTGTGGAGGAGACGGTGGGGGTGGCGCCTGCAGTGCAAGGGAAGAGGAGGGAACACGGGGAGGTGGAACGTGTAGGGGTTTCAATGTGAATCTGTGACGTTGTGAGGAAGCTTGGTAGCATGTAGAGGGAGAAGCTTGTAGAGGAGACGGTGGGGGTGGCGCCTGGAAAGGATTGGAACAGAGGGGAGAAGGAAGCTAATACAAACAACATATGCTCTTACACCAGTACGTACTGCACTCGAGGTTATTCACCCAGCACATGCTCCTGTGCATGCAGATATCAAGAGCAGGAAGGAGCATCTACACCACACACACTACTGCACTCACTCTCTACACGCACACAACACAAGCACTTGTGTTGCACTCACACATACATACCGTGCTCACACACATGCACCTTGCACTCACACGCATCCACCTTGCACTCACACATGCACCTTGCACTCACACACATGCACCTTGCACTCACACATGCACCTTGCACTCACACATGCACCTTGCAATCACACATGCACCTTGCACTCACACATGCATACCCTGCACTCACAAATGCATACCGTGCACTCACACATTACTCGGCTTACACTGACACACATGCATTGCATGCATCCAGTGCTGGTCATTCCATAACCAGGAGCGCACATCGACACAACGCACACTTTTGCACTCACACATGCACACATCACATGCTCTTGTATGCTCACACATACACATACGTTACACTCTCATGTGCTGGTCATGCCATAACCAGGAGCGCATATCGACACAACGCACTCTCTTGCACTCACACATGCATTCATCACATGCTCTTGTATGCTCACACATACACAACATGCTCTTGTATGCTCACACACACATACCTTGCACGCATCCAGTGCTGGTCATGCCGTAACCAGGAGCGCACATGCAGTAAGTAGCCCAGGTCAATGGGAGAGGAGTGCACACAACTCGTGCTGGGCATGCCCCGCACAAAGCAGGTCCTGTGGGGAGGGGAGGAGAAGCAGGAGGAGGGTGAGTTGGTGAGCTGAGAATGCGGAGTTGTGTGTGCAATAGCAGACCATCAAGTGGCCGCTGCAGGGCATGCCCCACACGTGACAAGTCATGTGGGGAGGGCATGTCGATGCTCTTCTAAAAATTTAAATACTGCTTCCAAATCTGTGCTGCTGCTTGTCCCTGTTGTAAACTAAGATGTCGTCGAGGTAAACTATGACGCATTTATCTAAAAGTGGCCAAAACGTCTCGTTCATCGTCATTTGAAATGTCGCGGGCGCATTGGTCAGCCCAAATAGTTTCACTGTATACTCGAAGGATCCGTACCTAGTTCTAAAAGCTGTCTTGGCGCAGTCTGTCGGTTCGACTCGAATCTGGTGGTAACCGCCGCGTAAGTCAATTTTCGAAAACACTCTAGCTGTTCGCAGTGGATCGATCAGTTCGTCGGCACGTGGGATGGGGTATCGTGACTTGATTGTTACCCTTTTCAGTGCTCGGTAGTCGATGCACATGCGAAACCCTCCGTCGTTTTTTGGTGTGAACAGTGTCGGTGCGGCGAACGGCGATGAACTCGGTCTGATGAACTTCTTTCCAGTAGGTAATCCAGCCGCTTTCTCAGTTCCTCTAGCTCGGGCTGTGTCAGTCAGAACAGTCGCTGTACGGTTGGCTGTGCCCCCGGCTCTAATTATATTCGGTGATCGTGTGCTCGCTGAGGTGGCAGTCCTTCTGGTAAATCATCGGGAAAAATCCCGGGGTACTGTTTTAGTAACTCCTTAGTTTGGGCGATACAGCTGCCAGCAGTGTCTAGAAATCGCTCGGCTTCTCGGTTTCTCCCACTTCCGTGATGTCCACTGCGTACACGTTAGCACTTGGACCGTTGAAGACTCAGGCGACTGCCAGCGAGGTAGTGTGATCCAGTTACCGCCGCTTCGCACAGTGCAGCTACCTGTCGTCCAGCCAATTCGGGTTGTAGCGTCGTAGCCAATCACGTCCCAGTAAAATGTCGTGCCCATCCAGCGTCGTCGCGAGCATTTCCTGTGTAAACCCGAAGTTCCCCCCGCAGCGAACCTTCACCCTCTCTACCTTCTCCCGTATAGCCAGCGGCGTGCCGTCAACTAAGCGTGCGTCGATATCCGATAAGAAGCGGCTAAGTGTCAGTTACAGCTTCCTCGCAGTTGTGGTATTAACTAAACCGTGGCTTGCTCCTCCGTCGATAAAAATCTTCACTGCTACCCCCTGTATTTTTCCGTAAATCAGTATTGGGCAATCTGTAGCTGTACCCTCCTTATTCAGCCGAGCCCGATCGATTGCGTGAATCGGTACTGTCACTCGGTGAGGGTCAGTGGGGTCGGGCAAGCAGTGAGTCTCATCAGTAGTGGGCCCGTACTCTACTGACTGCTGGCCTTTCCCTGCCTTCCAGACTCCCTCCCCTGCTCTGATCCACGGCGCCTTAGCTCCTGGGCACTCGCGCTTATGATGACGCGACCCGTTGCACGCGAAACAACGCCCCTTACACAGCACGGCAGCTGCATTCGTCGCAACGGCATGTACAGTGGCATTTTCGGTCGGCCCCCGAGTACAATGTCCGTAATGGTAGGACCCCGGCCTCGGACGGCGTAGAATGTCGATCTTCTCGGCGAGCGCCAGGATTTCGTTGAAGATAGAAATTCCGCGGCGAGATTTCCGGCTTCCAGCCGCCGACGTAGCGATCCACTCGCTCCGCTTCGTGCATGTAGCCGACCTGTTCGCACAGCGCGAGAAAACCGCTGGTTTAGTCTTGGACCGACCCGAGCTGTCGCCGCATACCGTATAGCCCTGGATATAAGCGCATATGCGCTTATAATAAAATAATTTTTTTAGGGGGTGGCGCTTGTAATTGAGTAACGGCCATAAGCGCCGGCGCTTATATAATGACAATAACAAATTTATATAATTAGAGCACCAAATTGTTTCATTTTCTTTTTGCCATTTCAACCGAGTCGAATATTTTTGACGTCACAAATCAGAATCGCGCGCGAGCGATATTCTGCCAGCACACAGAGGAAAACACACGTCATGCCAGCACATCCTGACTGGACGCGCAGCCAGTCAGGTCTTCGAGAGTCAAACGAAGCGAAATTGAAATCTGACTCGCTGCAAAAATGAATCTCGTTAATGTTCTAAGCAATATTTTATATTAAAATTACACATGCGCTTATAATAAGTAAAGCATTTTTAGGGGGGGCGCTTATAATCGAGGAACGGCCATAAGCGCCATGCTCCAGATAGAAGCGCCGGCGCTTGTAATAGGCCGGCGCCTATATCCGGGGCCATACGGTACGCAACTTCTAGTGTGCCGAAATCGAAGCCGTGATCGGCTCGAAGCGCGCCCGAAGCTTTGTGCACCACGTGTCGCACGTGCTGTATTGGGCGGTTTCACAAAACGAACTCCAGTTTACGGCTGGCCCCGAGGGCCTTTCCCCTTGCGATAGTGGCTCATAGGTGCTCGGCGACGTTACGATAACTCGCCACCAGCCAATGGCGGGCCCCCCGCAGCAAGGAAACGACGTACCGAATCTTCGCTGCATCTGACGTGACGTAGTTCGCGTAAAAAAACATGTCCATCGTGAAGATCCACGATTGAAACGTCGGACCCCCACGCTGGCTAGGATCGAAACAGGGCAGGCGTTGCGGCTTGAGCAGCATTGGCTCAGCGATGTTGTGGCTGCTGAT